CCAACACCCCTACTCCCTTCCCCACCCTCTCCCACCTCAAAGGACAGTTCAGGGCGTTAGGGTGACTCCCATTCCATTAGCAACCTAAAGAGTCCGTTCCCTTCTCGGTAACTCGAAGAAGGCGTAGAAATATGTGGGTAAAAAATGGGGTTCAGCAGAGCTAAGGGCGGGTCAAAGATGCTCTCTTTCCCTTTGACCACAATCTTTACGTTTTTCGCTAGCTCAGATGGACAGTTTCAGATCTTTTCTTCTTCCTTGGACAGCTGTCCACCATCGGCCGTTCTCAGCTATCAGAACAGACAAAAAGAATTTCAGCAGACTCTGAATCAGAGCAACTCAACTGTCTTTATCGGCGGTCTGAAAAATCACATGGAAGCAAACATCCTGAAGGCTTACTTTTCGCAGTTCGGCCGCATCAACAACATATTCCTGGCCGTCAAGCCAGGTACAACCACCCCCCTCGGCTTTGGGTTTGTAAACTTCGCTGAGGGAACAGATGTCGCATGTCTATTGGCGAAAGAAAAACATGACCTTGGGTGTGGGTCCATCGACGTCAGGATGTACACCCCAGCCTATCCGACGCACAGGTACTTTCGTTTTATTATTGATTTTTCCCTCTTATGACGGACTAGCAGTAGTGAAGCAACCCCAGGACTTGCGTATATTTACCTAAATGGCAGTAGCTGCAGCAGCAGCAGCACATATGTGAAGATCGTGAGCGGTGCAATCCAACCAATTATCAGTGAATGGCATCTAGAGGTGACTGTATCGAGGAGTGTTAGGGCTGAGAGGTTTAACCCTCACACCTGCGATCTTCCAGGCCCGGTTCCTTAGGAGACGAGAGAGAAGTCTTTGGAAGGCCAGAGTAGTAGGAACAATGTATTGTGTACACAATAGTTAGGAGAAGTCTTGACTGCCGGAGTACACCTCTAGTCACCAGTCGAGCTAGGCCCGGAGTGATGGCTAGCTGTAGCCACGGTCTTAAGGCCTGTCCAGACAGATTAAGGTCACGCCGCTGTTGGTAGTGCGTGCATGCGTGCGCTCGCGCGTCAGGTTGCATCTGGCTTGAGGCATGCCTAAACTGACTTCACGTGAGGTCTTGTGCTCTGAGTGACCACGTCTGTGGCATCACGATTTAGGAGGGAGTCGGGCAGAAGCGACCACTACAAATACGTAGGACTCTGCACGCCTGTGCCAGATCGATAAATCGATTGATTCACTTCCCATCCATGGACCAGACTTCAATTACTCCTCGGATCGTCTTTACTTTGTGAACGATTCTCTTGACGGCTGCGAAGCTTGAACCCGTGGCTCGTTTTATAGGTGCGGGCAGCAACAAGCGATAATTTGTCACCCCATCGCACA